GAAACAGTTTGTCACAGCCCCTCGTTTGTTGTCCTCTTCTCTCTCTCTGCCTACGGTTTACCGGGCAGTTCTATTTGTGACGATATATATTGTCATATATATATATATATATATATATATATCGTCAAACAGTGCTGCCCGGTAAACTGTAGCCAGAGAGGGAGAAGAGGACAACAAATGAGGGGTTTAAACTGTTTCGTTGGAGGAGAGAGAGAGAGAGAGAGAGACGGGGGGGCTTGCTTGTCGCCTTTCTGCAGTCGTCATCTTTAAGTTCCCTTAGAGCGAGAAGAGGCCCTGGACGCTCCCGGAAACTGTTTCTAGACTCCTCGAGGGCTTCTTTGACTCTTGCTCTGCTGTGCCCGGTAGGGCCTGACTGATGTTTTTTTCGGGGCCTACCTCTCCTTAGCCTTTCAATACCAGCCCTACCGTCCTTTAGGAATTTTCGGAGCCTCCTCAGAGGCTCTAGAGCCGACTCCTGAGCCCCAAAATTTGAGTTAACCGAAAGTTACGTTCTCCAATCCTTTCTGTGCTGGTTTTGACCGCAGATCCTTGCTCCAGGGATTGTTGATTGACAGATCAGGCAAACGTTTGCTTCTCTGCACTCCCTTTTTAGTAGACACTGTGGTTTTATTAACCAGTCATAATGTCTGCTTTCAGCCAGGCCATACTCTGATTCTCTGGCTTCTTTCTGTCTGCTTCCAGGCCTCAGGATGTCACTGCGATTCGATGCAGTCCTGGCTTGGGTTATCGTGAAGGTGTAAGAAGGTGGGAGGACTGTTTTGTCATTTAGAATAATGGGCAGTTTCCCACGAGTGGACCCCACCAAAAAATAAAAATAAAAATTGTGGGGTCCGTAACCCCCCAAAACCCCACAAACACCTTTACACCCCCCCAAACGCCCCCATACTGGCCCCCCAACAACTGCATACTTTCTGCATAGGCCCCTATACCCCCTCATACCCCACACCTCCCCTCCCCCTATACCTAAAAGTTTCTCAGCGGATTTGGGCTGTACTCAGCAAGTGCAGTGCAGCCACAAACTCAGATATAGAAAAAATCAGTGGATGGCCCACTAGTGACTGGCCGGCAGACTGCCTACGGGTTGGCTCGACTGGGAGGCGAGAAAACCGTCAGCGTTGGCAGTTGGCGGTCTGACAACCATGTTTTCAGCTGTGTTTTTCTGACTTTCCAGCTGTGTCTGTTTCTGGAGGGTGGGCTGGTATGACAGTGCCCTTATGTGGTGTGCTGGGAATGTTCGTTGCTGATGATGATATTTGGCTTGGGGTGGTGTGTGCAGGACTGAGTGGCATGTGATGCGCCCGACGTGAAATGGAGAAATATTTGCCATAACTGGCTTGCTGTGCCTGATTGCAGTCGTTGGAGATCCCTGTTCTTGTTACTCTGGTGGAATGGAGGAAGCAGGTGGAAAGCATTGCAGTCAAGTCTCTGGCAGGGGCAAAGGATGGGGGAGAAGTTGCTGTGTCACGTGATCAGCAATATTGTAGTATGTTGATATTAAAGATGCATTTCTCGTTGGCTGCAATTTGTCCTTGAGGGAGCAATCATTCTGGTGTTGCAGCATCTTGGCTAGTGCATTTGTAGGCGAAATCCCACAGGATTTCCAAGACTTATCAGGTACTTCCTTTTGCAAGGCTTACTGTGAGTAGAGTCCAATGTCAGTGGCCTTGGCTTGATTGTAAGGAATAGGGCAAGAGGTAGGTTTGGACCTGGAATGCTGCGTATGCGTGTACATTCCATTCTCGAAGTATGCTTATTAGGGTTTTCACAGTGGATCTCTGTTTGAACTGGAACTATAACCCCATGAGTTGGTTTTCTGTACGGTACAGATCCCCTTTCCCGAAAGCACGTGGTATTTTGCTTCAAACTGGGGACGCAATCTGGAGTAGTTTGTTGAAGAGCAGCGATTATGGTGTGGCTGTGATTGTGGTTCATTGTTTTTTCGTGTCTCTGGTTTGCCTGCTTTTCTCCTGCTGCCCTCTATCCCCCAAAATGCTTGTCTGCTGGTTTCAAACTGCTCTTGTTCAGAAAATCTGGGAGATTGGGAAGGGTAATGTGTAGGGTTGGTGCAAAAACAGGGATTGTATGCCCACCCTCAGATAGTGACATGGGTGAGTTGGAGGGGGCAGGAATGTGTCAGGGGGGGTTGGGTAAGTGTGGACGGAGAGCTGTGGGGGGGGAAAGGCAAGGGGGATGTTCAGACTCTTGGTTTCCTTTCAGTTTTCCAACATGTTGGAGAATTTTGGCTCGTTGTTTGATACAGCGTGCTGCTGAGGTCGGGTCGTGTTCAGTGCTGTACGGGGCCGTGTTGGATCATGTTGCGGTCGTGAAAGAGAAATTGCTGGTATGTGCTGTTTGAAGGGAGTGAGAGGGATCTGCTGAAGTCGGCCGTTGCTGAGTACTTTCACCCGGATGGTGCCATTTAAAGGTGTGGGCTGTACCTGCAACTTGCATTGGCTCAATACACAGGTGCTTACCGCTGGAGGTAGATCGTTCGGACTGTCTAACAACGGGATGGGGGTCGTGTGCTGCTGCTGAGGTGGGGTCGTGGTCAGTTATCATGCCGTGATTCTTACCTCCATCGCAGTGGTTGTGCGAAGGAGAGGCTCTGCTCGTGTACAGCAGGTTTGCTTTCCTCCCAGGGCACTTTCTCACATTCCTGTTCTTCTGCTGTGCTGTGTTCACACATGAAGCATGACTGTAAGCCTTTGTGCATTACTTAAGTAGCTTGTGCAGATCTGTTCATTTATGTACTTCTTTGTTTTTCCCCATGTTGGTTTGTGTCGTTGGCTCACTCTCACTAGTTCATGGCGTACTCACCCTGGCTGTCTTAAATGTATCTAGCTGCATTTACGACCCAGCCTGGACGTATCTGACTGCAATGCGACCATCAATAAGTAAAAAGGTCCTAGTGTGAGTATGTCTTCATTGGGAATACATGCACCCATGCACCCAAAAGTGATCCAGTGACTGATGTATGTACGGTCGCTACGTGTGACTTTCTTGACCTCCCAAGGATGTCCCTATTTGACCTGTAAAGTCCGAATGGGGAAAACGCACCTTTTTTGTTATTTTCCTGACACAGGCAGCCTGCACCTGTGCTTCGAGGGCAAGGCTGCAGTAGTACAGTCGAAGATAGACCTTGTATTGCAATGGGGCAAACCATCCACAATAAATTATGAATGAACTGCCGGGAGAGGAATCATATGGAATATGGCAAGAGCACAGATGTTCAATGTAGTTTCCCCTCTTGAACATCTTGTGTGCAATCAGGGCTGGTTGATGATTCACTTCTGGACTCGGTCTTGTTTCCCTCTATAGAGAATAGGGAGGAGTCCCTACATTTCGTTATACCCTCCATTTGCGGTCTACTGCTGTGCCAGTGTTCTGCCTCTTAAGGCCTGCAGGTCCAGTTGTTGCCTCACATCGTCCTGTACGTTTCCTGCTAGGGACATTCTTGTTGACCCGGCGTTCTGCTCCTTGTGGTATGTTGGTTCAACAGCCAATAGAATGCCTTTTCCCGGACAGCTTACCGGCTCACACTCTCGTTAGTGGAGAACAGAACCTAGCAGCTCTAGCCTGACCATGTTGAAGTGGATCATTATCGTATAAAACACTACCTGCATTCAGCATGAGGGTCAGACTGTGGTTCGTGATTTGAAGGCACAACATATGGTAGAACAAGCCTACAGTGGTTGCTGATTAGGGTCTGACTGTGGTTCGTGATTTGAAGGCACGACATATGGTAGAACAAGCCTACAGTGGTTGCTGATTAAAATCCAAGACATTCTCATGTGTGCAGAACGCTTGAATATCATCGACAGATGGGCGCTGTGCTCAGGATATTTGACAAAGCAAACTCAGCAGCATCTTTTGCTTTGAATAAGAACGAGTGAAAAGAGCACTGGTGAGTGGGAGGCATTGAATTTGAAGCTTTGAAGTATCATAGTTGAGCCCAACATAGTCTTAGATAATGACCAGCGAAGTCTCATTATTTTTCTTTATACCATTTCTTGATTTATGAGTGTCTTCCTTTTGCAGGTGCCATGCTGATCTTCACTTTATCGTTCCAATTTCAATGGATGTCTTGAAGGATAGTGACTAGCGCAAATTAAACACTTCGCCATGCCTTTTCTCCTGCCCTTCTGTTCAGCAACACCCTGTAAGAACTGCGGACGTGGTTCAGCTGGCAGCCACATTCACTTTCTTCCCTGGTGTTTTGTATATCTCCTTTAGTTGTCTCAAGAGGATATCTAGCTTGCAGTGAGGGTGTTTTAAAATAATGCAGAACTTGCGATCACGAAAACACTGTGCTGTTATGTGAACTGCATGAATTGCAGCTCGTAATCATGCACAGAGCAGCTGCATCTCACTCGCATCTCACTTTTCTCTGTTTGCCTGTCACGTATGGTGACCTGGAGTGTAGCCGATTGCAGCAATACTCCACAATTGCAAACCAACTCACACATCCAAGATGAGAGCATACACGTGAGAGTTAACACCACACCCGAGAGTAACGAACGAATCACCGCCAGATGTGATTCCACTGAAAAACATGGTAATGTACAATTGGAGAAGTATACAGCGGCAACTGCTGCGAGTCAACACTGCAACTTGACACAGGTACGTGCTCGTCTCCCCCTTCCTGGCTTCTCTCTCTCTCCCTCCCTCTACTCGACAGTGCAACTTGACACAGCTATGGTTGTAGCCAGGGCACTTGCTTTCCTCCCCAGCGCTTGTCCTCTGTCCAGGTGGCACGATCGCCCAAGCGACTAGCAGCACTTCCGAAACCTCACAAATGAACCAGTTTCGGTTGGCACTGTAGCAGCATAGCTGGAGTTGACTGTAATGCCTGTTGCGCACTTTCTTGGGATGGTGCTGCAAATTTGGACTGTGGGACTTGACTTCCGTGCAGGTACCGGCGGACTTCTACCAACCTGTGACATTTTGGTACCGCAGCCTGCCGGCTTAAACGCTTCGACCTACAGACCCTACAATCTACCCTACCGGGACGGCCTGGGAGAGGGACCAACTGGGACCTTGGGACTGGGATTTTTGGGGACTGACTGTGTGAAATCCTTTCTATCAACTATCATGATTACTTGAGTCTTACCACTCTGACTCTTGACTTTAGTGTCCATAAAGTCTATAGAGACCGAGTCCCCTTGGCCCGAGAGGGCATAGGGAGTGGTTTCAATGGTCCTAGGGGAGGCTGCGTGGAAAGCTTGACTGATTCTGTGAAATCCTTTCTATCAACTATCACCATTACTTGAGTCCTACCACGTCAACTCTTGACTTCAATGTCCATGAAGTCTATAGAGACCGAGTCCCCTGGGACCGATGTTACAGAGAGTGGTTTCAATAGTCCTAGGGGATGCTGCGTGGAAATTCTGGCTCAGCTGACATACTTTGCAGCCTTGAACATAGAGAATACAATCTTGTTTCATACCTGTTCACGTGTATGACCTGGGGAGGTTGGCATATTTTTCCTCCACTCAAAGTGGCCCTCCGAGTCATGGCACTCCCCTAGTATAATGCTGCTAGTTTCTTCGCTCTTCGGTACACGTGATCTATCCTCCCTGTCGGTCTACTCAAATAGGAGGCCATCAGCCATCCGATAGTTAGGCTCCTCGTGAGGTGCAGCCTGCACCTTGCAAATAAGTTCACTATAAACCTTATCGTCCCCATAGGCCTCCCTTATATCTTCTGTTGCAGCTTGGCACCTGAGTCTAAATAGGTGACTATTGATCCAAAGAAATTGCCGTGTCGGCTCAGTGCATCTGTGACAACATTATACTTGCCTTTGACAGGCTAGAGTTCGATGTCGAAATCTTCGATCTCAGCGGCCCATCTAGCGAACTTAGTGGGCATCCGGGCAAGTTTCGTCTCCAGTGGGCTAAGGCTTTGCTCAGTGTGGACAGTTCTCTGTCGTAGGTTGATGCACCAACCTTCTCGCCGTGACTGACCTATATCCTTTGCCATCATTTTGCGGTGGGACTGGGCCAATGCCGTATTGGCTCGCATCCGTAGTCACGATAAACAGAAGTGACGGGTCAGCTCTTCTTAGGACCGGGTACTCGATGAGACATTTCTTGAACTCCTTGAGAGTGGACGTGCAGTCTGTGTCCCACTTCCATACAGCTTCCTTTTGTAGCAATCTGCGCATCGGTGCAGCTATCATAGTGAAGTTTCGCACGAACTTCCTGTAGTAATTGGCTAGACAAAGAAACGACTGCAGTTCAGTAAAAGTGTGCGGGGTTGGCCAATCTCTAATTCCTGCAATTTTAGCATCCTCTGGTCTCACTCCATCTCCGTCTACGACATGGCCTAAGTACAAAACTCCATGCTTTGCCCATTTACACTTCTTGGGGTTCAACTGGAACTTAGCCTCGCGAAGCTTGTGCAGGTAAGGCGAAGGTACTCTTGGTGTTCCTCGAGAGACTTGCCAAATATCAGTATATCGTCTAAATCTACCACGGCGAATTAATCTAACCAATCTCTAAACTTATTTTGTGCATTGCTGGAATGTTGCACTGGCGTTGGTCAGCCCAAACGGCATGACCATGAACTCGTAGTGGCCGTACCTAGTTCGGGATGCTGTCTTGTGCTGATCTTCGGGCTGTACCTCTATCTGGTGGTCTTGTGCTGATCTTTGGGCTGTACCTCTATCTGGTGGTAAGATACCATGAAATCTTATACACCACCTTTAGATTAGATTCCATCAAGAATGACAAATTACTTCACTTTTATGACTTATTGTTTAGTACCTATTCAAGTCTATCTTCAAGAAATAACAACCCTGCACCCTGTCTAACAAGCATCTATCCTGGTCAATGGCACAACATTCTTGACAGTTATAGGGTTCAGACCTCTATAGTCTATGCACATATGCAGTCCGCGCTCTTTGTTAGGCATAAATAGGACCGTTGCCCCGAAGGGCGAGGAAATAGGCTTAACCCACCACTTTTCTATCAGCTCATCGAGCTGTTTCCTCAGTTCTTCCAACTCTTTGGGAGGCATCCTATAGAATGGACCCTTGGGAGTCCTGCTATTGGGTTCAATCTCGACTCGGTGCTTGATCTCCCTCTCCACTACACCGGTTGGAGCGCCTCCCAGATCTGCGAACTCCTTCAACAGATTCGGAGCTCGGGGCGGCAGTAATTCTGCCTCCTTACTCTCCTCACTAACTGATGTAATGTATGCAACGAAGTCTTGTTCGAGAAGATCCTGCTGGACCACTTGCCTAGCGAACTGAGGAGCACTCATGCAACATGCGAAAGGGCGAACTTGACTCCGGACTCGTGAAAGAGTAATTTTCTTCTTCCCACCTTGGGGACTGGGCAGCCAGTACTCGTGCTCCCCCGACTTGACATCCGCTATTGCGGCCTCTCCCCAATCCGTCACTAACAGCATGTCAAAAGGTACACCATTGTCCACTTTCTCACTCTTCTTATCCTCCCCCTCCAACCGGAAGTATGCCCTCACCCCCCCGGCGAACTCTTGCAGTCTAATATCTCTGTTGTCTACCAGTTTGCTCACCACCGGCTCCTCCAATGTCTGCACTTTCATCCCTAGATGTAGTTTCTTCGGTCCTTTCTACTAACATACCTATGTGTTGAACCACAGCCTGCTAATGCACCTCTGACCCACGTCCTCTCAGACTGATCAAACTGGGAAGGGATGCTAGTCCAGAGTTGGGTGGGGTGTTGAGCGAAGCTGGAGGAGAATATATGGTCCCACAAGTCCGAGGCTCTGGTCCACTGTTCTGTGGCTTCATTACATCGGATAAGACGGTGGATCAAGTTTGCTTGTTCTTGGTCTGAGCACGCTACCCATAGGTTCGAGCTGTTGGGGTCGCTCTTCCTTTCTTCTGATGTGTAACTGACGGGCGGGGCAGGGTATGTGATTAACCATTGGATACGCCTAACCTTTACTGGTTGAATCGTTTCCAATATCTTCCAAGGTATTTTGGAGAGTGGTTGTGGCTTCCTCCCCTATTAGCCTTGTCCGTCTGTGCCTAGTAGTTGGTTCTGGGTCTTTTGTCTTGAGGAGCATCTTGTATCCCTTTTTGACTGAGCACTCCTTGGAATCTGCAATGCAGAGTACAGGGTAACTTACCAAGGGCTCTTTCAAGGCTTGAAATGCGGTCTCACATGTTGCATCCCGCATATAAAATACATTCTTACTTGT